TTTTGTCTATAGATTGTATTTGTATGCCTTCTTTTTAACCATTTGCTTGTTTATTCACTCTTGAAAAAAACATTGAGAGTGTACTAAATGTCTGCTATACAGGTTATAAATTTAATGTCATGTTCTTTACTTTTAAAGGTCTCACCATTTATTAAGGAAAATCAATGTGATAAAATTAAATGATCTTTTTATCAAAAAAAATAATGAACTCAAATACAATACCTTCAATTGAATTAACATGTTGAAATGAAGGGAAATATGAACCCTCTGTAACAAATAATAGTCTAACTACATCTATCAAAAGAGAAAATTGAGCTTATTAGGCATAACCTTTTCTTAGTGAATCCATGTTGACTCGTGGTGATCATATCTTTCTTTTTCTAAATGTTTACAATTCATCTTTGAAGTGCAATATACTGTAATAAATTGTAATATATTATTACCAGGGCTTCCTGTCAAATTTACAATGTCATTCTTTTACACTGAAAGTAATCAGGAAAATTCCATTCAACAGTATAATTATTTTGATTTGTTTTTAATCCCAATATTTAATCTAATTTTGACTTAAATATTATTAAAGAAGAGTGAGAATATTATGTGTATTGGAAGGGGACATGGAAAAGATTGAGAATCTCACTGCTGCAGGGAGGCAGGTATTAGCTGAATGTAAGGAAGAACTTTCTAGTAGTTAGAGCTGCCTATCGGTGGGGTGCCTTGCAAAACAGGAAGCTCTCTATCACTAAAAATCTTTGAGAGCTATCAGGTCCATTTTCCCAGGAGAGCAGAAACAATCTTGATTTAGGAGGCAGCACTGATTTAGATCAGTGTCTTTCAAACTATGGTGACAAAGCACTTTTAAAAAAAATTTCTACTCTGTGATGGACTAATACTTTTACAGAATATGAAAGTATCACACATTTGGATGTCATGGTAATGTAAAATTGCTATAAAGTTTTCTAGATCAGTGACTTTTGTCTAGAAAAACCTTTTTTGTCTCATGGCACACATAAACTACTTACTAAAATTCTGCACACTCCAAAAAATATATTTTTTGCTGATCTGACAAAAATAGATATAATTTTGACTGATTTAAAAAAATAATAGTAATATGTTCCAAAATGACATTTTAAAAAATTAGGTCCCTATACTTGCATATAATGATTTCTGGTACTAAAAATTAACCAATGAGATGCAACCTTATTATGCGATGCAACCAATAAGATGCAACTGTATTATATGACCTATATACTTATGGTTCAAGACAAGGCATTCACACTATTGTTGATTATTGTTGTATTGGCTGTTGTCATTTTTTTATTTGACAATCTAAGGGAAAAGAGGTCATGCCCCTGACTAAATAGTCGAGTATTGCATGTTTTAAAAATTATTGTGGTACACCAGTTGAAAATTGCTGTTCTAAATGCTTACTTTTGATTTCTGTTTTTAACTTAGTACACATAGGTAACAAAGTATGTTCTGGCATGAATAAGAGGACTACATTTTGAATGGATTGCATAGCCTGTAAGAGATCTCTGAGATGCTACAGTTTTTCAAATTTATGTAGCTTGTCCATTCTACTATAGTCATTGGGCATAATATTGAAGTACTAATTTCGGAACAACTAACCTCTTTCTTCAGCAATTAAAAATAACAATATAAAAGGTATTAGTCTAAAAGCAGTAGATCTGAAATTTTTTTTACTGCATTAACCTTTTATCTAATTAAATTAAAACAGCATAATTTTCTTTTCTACCAAAACATATCTGAATGCTCATTTAAAACTGATAACAAAGAAAATTATTTTCAGCCACTTCTCACACTTAATTTTCTGGTGTCACTTTCTTTGCACAAGCTGATAATGAAATGTGTAACAAATTATAGTTGATTACACATTTGAAGTTCTAACTTTATTTTACCAGCAGATAGCAAAATCAAAACCATGGAGGTGGTAGAGGAATAGAGGTGGGGGAACATTTCATGAATTTCAGAAGCATTAGGTAGAGGATTTAAGTTGGCCAAAGCAAATATGGTGAAGAATTATAAAAAGAGGAAGCAAAATTAAGAATTGCCCATTCTTGTGGAACTAGAGGATATTATGCTAAGTGAAATAAGTCAGACAGAGACAAATACCACATGATTTTATCTATATGTAGAATCTAAAGAACAAAATAAACAAACAAAACATAAACAAACTCATGGACACAGAGAACAAAATGATGATTGCCAGATAGTGGGAAGGGGCCTAGGGAGCTATATAAAAAAGATGAAGGGATTAAGAAGTACAAAAATTGGCAGTTATAAAATAGTCACGGGATGTAAAGTACAGCATAGGGAATATAGTCAGTAATATTATAACTATGTGTGGTGTCAGGTAGGTACTAGATTTATTAGGGGACCACTTGGTAAGTTAGATAAATGTCTAACCCTATGCTGTACACCTGAAACTAACATAATTATTGAATGTCAACTGTAATTGTAAAATTTAAATCAGATTTTTTTAAAAAGGAGCTGACCACTGTCATACTTCCTCAAATACTTCTGGGTTTCTTTGCAAGGAAAAGCAGACATTTTTGTTTAAAATCTTCTTTCCATTAAAAACATAACAAAATAAAACAACCTTCCTTCTCAAGAGACAATTTACAGATTTATAAGCTATCTTCTTCCAACTCTACCATACATGAGTTCATTCCCTACAGTAGTTCCAATATTCATTAATTCACCATAGTTTTACTAGAGCAAGGATTCTTAAGTAAGTATATAGGAAAAAGTTTTAGGAAATTTATGAACTTGGAAAATTCAATTATTTTAAAATTTTGAGTGAATGAGCAAATTATATGGGCAAAATGTCCACATTTGTCAACACATTCTTAGAAGAAACAATAATCCAAAAAGATTAAAGAATCTTTATTAAGCCCTGGCCAGTTTGGCTCAGCAGTTAGAGCGTCGGCCCATGGACCAGAGTCCCGGGTTAGGTTGTACCTCAGTTGCAGTTTGTCCCCAGCCCCAGTTTGTCCCCAGCCCCAGTTGGGGTCATGTGGGTGGCAACCAGTCAAAGTGTCTCTCTCACATCGATGTTTCTCTCTCTCTCTTCCCCCCTCTCTCCCTCCCGCTCTGTCTGGAGATAAATGCAAAAATGTCCTCAGGTGAGGATAAAAAAAAAAAAAATCTTTATTAAATGAAAAGTGTGATCTGGATAGAAATATAATGTACAGGTTCTTCATTTATTAAATAGGCACATAAAAATATATCACATAATCAAAAAGGGCTTTAGAGATAAATCCTTTCATTTTGTAGATGATAAAATTGACATCTGGATAGGTTAAGGAGAGAGCTCAGCTCGTTGCTAGTTAGAAGCCAGAAGCCAGAAAAAATGCTGGCCGCCTATTTCCAAGTCCATGCCCTCACACCCTGCTATCCACAGGGACAGACTGGAAGATATTAGTAAGCAGTCAACAATCCACCTCTGATAAGTATACAATCTCAGAATAAATCAAGTTATTAATTCTTTAAACACTACTGGTTCATAAGAGATATAAACTTTTTTTTTTAACTGAAGGTATCTAAAATATATTCTCTTAGATACATTTTAGAACTTGCTTCCTTGCCAGTAGGCACAATCAGTAACTTGTCAATCACCTAAAAGACAAGAGTGCTTGATCCTACCGCAATCAATAAAAGAACAGCATGCAACGGACCTGGAATGGACAGAGGATGCTTAGGAGACAGAAGGCTTCAAGGAGGAACTTCAACACATTTCTTTCTGAGGCACTTACTCTGAAAGCCCACAATACAAAATTAATTAGCTAAGTGGCTCTTTCAGCAATTGTTGAAGCTGTTTAGAAATTTTAAGAAAAACCTTACTCCAAAGTTTATTCCCTTGTTTATTTACACTAAAAAACAGTAAGTGCAAAAACCAAAGGAGATAATGTTTACTAAAAAGAACTTGTATAGTAAATAATTAAGTGAGAAAGCTGAAAAAGGTCTTATTTTGGTGTCAGTTAAGATGGGTATGAATCCAAAATTTGTTTCTATTTTTTTCAAAATAATTATAAAATTGAAATTCTAGACATAAGAATCCAAGGAACAGTTCCCTCTTCTCCCCCAATCCCGCACCTTGACTTCTAAAATACAGTGCAACTTTCTACCATCTGTTATTTTAGAGCAGAAAAAGTAATGAACATATGGGCTTTCTCTCTCAAGCAGCTGTAGTGTAGTTAAAGTTATAATAATTGTCTTTCTGTAAGATAAATTTACATTGAAAACCTGGCCAGTTAAAAATAAATGGCTCAGCCTCAGAGCCTTCCGGAATAAAATTAAGATATTCAGAATCATCTATGACATATCACATTCCGAGATTAGAGGACATCCTCTAAATCTTGTGTATTTATTTATTTATTTATTTATTTACCTAAGGATATCTTCCCATTGATTTTCAGATAGAGTGGAAGGGGGGGAGGGAAGGAGGGAGAGAGAAATATTGATGTGAGAGAGACACATCGATTGGCTGCTCCCGCACAATTCCAATCAGGGCTGGGGATCGAACCACAACCAAGGTACGTGTCCTTGACTGGAATCAAATCCAAAACTCTTTGGTCCACAGGCCGATGCTCTAACTGCTGAGCCAAACCAGCCAGGGCTAAACCTTATGCTTTTATATTCAAGGTTAAACGAATATAATTCATGATGCACAATCAGTTTACATAATCAGAAAGTCCACAACTCATGTTTTCTCTTTTTCATTCAAAGTGCTAGCAGCCTCAACTAGGGGTGAAATACTCCTACATAAAAATCAGTCTTAACAGCTGAGAATATAAACCCACCATGTCAGTGGGTTACTGCACTTCAATCTAAATCCTCATTTATTATAAGAAAAATCACAATACATTGGCATATAAACTTTTGTTTCAACTATAAATCATTCATAATGTGTTTAAGTAAACTGAAAGGAATTCAGAGCAGATTCTGATTCACATGTTATGAAAAATAAGAATTTTACTTACCTTTATCTGGGTGGTTCAAAATCATGATTCTCCTGTGAGCTGTTCTAATCTTGGTCTTGCCAGCAGATGGGCTGTAAAGAGAAATTAAAGTGCTTATAATAAATGGTGTCAAATGCAGATTATAAATTAACGGTTTATATGGGTTTCAAGAAATTAAAAACTAATGAGAATTTCACCATCTTGTGGATAAATATGAAATTACAGCCTGTCACTTAATTCCAGTTAACTACCAAAATAAATCACTGATTCAATGCTGCGTGTATTTTTCCTCAGTTCTTTGTAATATCAGCCATTATTTTCATTCCATTTAAAAAAGTAAAACAATATAGAAGGTATGGGAGTCACAGTCTATAGACTATACTGTGAGTTTGAAAACTTATGCTTAAATCATTTTGGGGAAAGAGTACACAGAGTGTAAAAGACAGATATTGGACTCAAGAGCTACTAGAGTGCTGGAAATGAATCCCACTCCCATTTAGAATGGGGTAACCTTCGTTAATTTGTTCACCTCCCTGTGCTTCATTTCCTCATTGTAAAACACAGTTAGGAAAACCATATTCCTAGAAGAGCAATTGTAAGGATTAAATTAGTTAATTCCAACAAAGTGCTAAAACCGGTGCCTGCTGTATAACAAGTGTTCCATAATAGTTAGCTTTATTATTAGTATGTTTAAACAGAGCATCTCAAAACACTTCACAACTCATAATTTATTTAACTTTGCAAGAACCCCATGGAAAAAGCTTGGCTGCTAGACTCTATGCTCTAAACAAAAATTAAAGAAAGTTAAATAAATCTAAACTATTTTTGTAAAACCAAATTTATCTGGTATTAGAAATGTTTCTCATTAGTGTATCTTCTAGGCAAGAAAACAACAACAACAACAAGACTAACAACAAAATCCTAGTATTGCTACTTATATCTTATCTAAGGTATTCAGATTATCTGGGCCTCAACTGGGGCTAATAATACCTGACAAAGTACAGGGTGTTGTTGTGAAGCTCAGATTAATTTAAGTTGTATGAATGATTCATGCTGTAGTAGATAAAAGCAGGTACTTTTAGAGATATTCAGATATAGGTTCAAAATCCTAATTCCATCACTCACTGGCCATACAATTTGTTTAGCTTAAACTCTGAGTTATAATTCCCTTAGATGTGAAATGGAAATAATAAAAGACCTTCCCAGGATTATTTTAAGGATAAATTAGATAATACAAGTAAAAGGATTAGTATCATTAGCATACAGTCAGTGTTCAGAGAATTGTAGTTATGAATATAAAGGATACTAATGAAAAAATATATTCCCTACTTTGAAAATGGAGTATAAATAACCTAATTTTACATTTCTTGAATGACTCAAAGTATTATCATGACTATTAATTAAATATAAAGAAATGATTAAGGTTTGCTTGCCCTTCTACTAAGTGGTCATACAATGCTATTCATTTAACTTTGATCTGTTTTGAACACCACCTCCCTTGTTGTTAGTTGTCAATCCTCAATTCTGCCATTGTTTCAGTCCCTTGCCAGTTACTTTCTACTTCTAACCTCATGGGGTTAAATAACAAATCATTAAGCAGGTTAAAATGCACTGTTGATTGCTGAATATACATTGAAAATATTCTTCTTTAAAGACAATAAATATGTCTTGAATTAAAAAAAAATTCAAAAGAGAAATAAAAAAAAAAAAATACTTTGAGACCAATGAAAATGGAACTACAACATGGTAAAACTTATGGGAAACAGCCAAAGCAGTTCTATGAGGAAAATTTATAGCAATAAACTACTATATTAAGATAAAAGAAAAAGCTCACATAGACAACCTAACTTTACACCTTAAATAACTACTAGAAAAAAAAGAACAAACTAAATCCAAAGTTAGTAGAAGGAAACAACAAAGACAAGAATGAAAATAAACGAAATAGAGACTAAAGAGACAACAGAGCGGACCAGTGAAATTAAGAGCTGTTTTACGGAAAAGATTAACAAAATAGACAAACCGTTTGCTAGACTCACTAAGAAAAAGAGGACTCAAATAAATAAAATCATTAATAAAAGAGAAGACATTAAACTAATGCCACAGAAATACAAAGAATCATAAGAGACTACTATGAACAATTAATTATATGTCAACAAATTAGACAACCTAAATTTTTTTTTTAATTCCTAGAAACTAACAACCTACCCAGACTGAATCATAAAGAAATAGAAACTCTGAATAGACCAATTACTAGTAATGTGATTAAACAGCAATAAGAACCTCCCAACATGGGATGTTAGGTTGGTTCAATATCCGCAAATCAATTAACAAGATACATCATGTCAACAAAATAAAGCATAAAAATCATATCAATAGATACAGAAAAAGTATTTGACACAATCCAGCATCAATTTATGATGAAAATTGTTATCAAAGCAAGAATAGAGGGAACATACCTCAACATAATAAAGGTCATATATGACAAACCCACAACTAAAATCATACTCAATGGAGAAAAGCTAAAAGTGATTTCCTTGCCCTGGCCAGTGTGCCTCAGTTGGTTGAGTGTCATTCCAAAACCAAGAGGTTGCTGGTTCGATTTCTGGTCAGGGCACATGCCCGGGTTGTAGGCTTGATTCCTAGTAGGGGGTGTGCCAGAGGCAGCCAATTGATATTTTTCTCTCTCACATTGATGTTTCTCTCCCTCTCCCTTTCTCTCTCTCTAAAATCAATAAGAACATATTTAAAATAAAATAACACTGTTTTCCTTAAGATCAGGAACAAGGCAAGACTGTCCACTTTCACTACTTTTATTCAACAGATTGAAAGCAGTGGAAGTCCTAGCTATAGCAATCAGACAAGAAAAAGAAATATAAAGCATCCTAATTGGAAAAAAGCAAAACTGTAACTATTTTCAGTTGACATAATACAATATATACAAGATTCCACTAAAAAACTATTAGAACCAAAAAATGAATTCAGTAAAGCAGAATAGAAAATTAATATTAAAAAATAGGTTGCATTTATATATGAACTGTACATTAAACTATCAGAAATTAAGAAAACAATCCATTTACGATAGTATAAAAGAATCATAAGTAACTAGAAATAAATTTAATCAAAGAGGTAAAGTATCTGTATTGAAAAATTATAAGACAAGAAGAAGTAAGTGGAAGATACAAATAAATGTAACCATATACTATGCTCATGGAAAAAAAAAAAATAACATGATTAAAATGTCCATAGTACCCAAAGCAATCTATAAATTCATTGCAATCCCTATCAAACTACCAATGGCACTTTTCACAGAATTAGGACAAATAATTCTAAAATTTATATGGAACTACAGAGACTCTGAATAGCCACAGCAAGCTTGAGAAAGGAGAATAAAGTTGAAGGTATCATGCTACGTGATATCACACTATACCACAAAGTTCTAGTAATCAAAACATCATGGTACTGGCATAAAACAGACATACAGATCAATGGTACACAATAGAGAGTCCAGAAATAAACCCACAACTATATGGTCAATTAATCTATGACAAAGGAGGCAAGCATATACAATGGAGTAAAGACAATCTACTCAATAAATGGTGTTGGAAAAATTGAACAGATACATGAAAAAATGAAACTAGACCACCTTCTTAAACCACATATAAGAATAAACTCAAGCCCTGGCCGGTTTGGCTCAGTGGTTAGAGCGTCGGCCTGCGATCCAGAAAGACCAGGGTTCGGTTCCCACTAAGGGCATGTACTTCGGTTGCAGTTTGTCCCCGGCCCTGGTTGGGTCATGCGGGTGGCAACCACTCGATGTGTCCCTTTCACGTCAATATTTCTCTCTCTCTCCTTCCCACTCTATCTGAACAAAAACCAAAAAAATGTCTTCAGGTGAGGATAAAAAACCAAAAAACAAAACTCAAAATAGATTAAGACCTAAATGTAATACCCAAAACCATAAAACTCCCAGAAGAAAACATGGGCAGTAAACTCTCAGACACTGCTCTTAGTAATATTTTTTCTGATATATCTCCTTGGGCAAAGGAAACAAAATAAAAAATAAACAAATAAAGCTACATCAAAAAAGGTGAAGGGTTTAAGAAGTACAAATTGGTAGTTCCAAAACAGTCATAAGGATGTAAAGTACAGTATACAGAATATAGTCAATGATATTGTAATCACTATGTAGAGTGCCAGGTAAGCAGCCTTATTGGGGGGTCATTTTGTAAATTATATAAATGTCTAACCACTATGCTATACACCTGAAACTTATAAGAAATAATACTGAATGTCAACTGTAATTGAAAACAGACACAGATAACTGGAACAGGATAGAGAGATTAGAAATAAACCCACAGATATGTATTCAACTAATCTATGACAAAGGAGGCAAGAATACCCGATAGGGAAATATATTCTTTGCTCACCGAGGACATTTTTTTGGTATTTTCTTCAGATAGAGTGGAAGGGAAAGAGAGGAAGAGAGAGAGAAACATTGACGTGAAAGGGACACATCGAGAGGTTGACACCCACATGACCCAATCAGGGCCGGGGACAAACTGCAACCGAGGTACGTGCCCTTAGCGGGAACAGAACCCGGGTCTCTCCGGACCGCAGGCCGACGCTCTAACCGCTGAGCCAAACTGGCCAGGGTGGGAAAGATATCCTTTGATAGCTACATGCAAAAAAATAAAAATGGACTGCTGTCATATACCACTTACAAAAATAAATTCAAATGGATTAAAGATTTTAACATAAGAACTGAAACCATAAAACTCCGAGAAAAAAACATAGGCAGTAAGCTCTTTGACATCAGTCTTAGCGGTATTTTTTTTTTTGGACCAGTCTCCTTAAGAAAGAACAAAAGCAAAAATAAATGGGATAACACCAACTAAAAAGCTTTGCACAGCAAAGAAAACCATCAACAAAATGAAAACGCAACCTACTGAACAGGAGAAGGTATTCGCAAATCATATATAGCCAGTAAGGGGTGAATATCCAAATATATAAAGAACGTATACAACCAAATATCAGAAAAACAAGCCAATTAAAAAATGGACAGAGGACCTGAACAGACATTTTCCCAAAGACA